CTAGTATTCCCGTTACTAGTGTGGGTTGCATCAATGTCCATAGCATGGGGGTCAGCAGGGGTAGTGTGAGCGGTATGTGTGGGAGGGTATCCAGAGTTCCGGCCAGTCATGGTGGGATCGTGCAGGTAGACATCCACTGATATGGCCCGTTTGATTGCCTCCTTCAGAGTCGGAGCAATTCCTTGGGCAATGTTTACGGTGATGAGATGTTGTCGGATCTCTGGGAGTAATGCAGTGAAGAAATGTTCCCGCAAGTCAATATCAGACATTTCAGTCCGATCTTCGATATCCTTGAACTTCTGAGTGAATTCCGCAACTGTCTGTCCTTTACTTTGCCTGAGATTCTTGATCTCGCTACGGGCTTCCATACCTGGGTCCATTGGTTCAAACCACTGGCTAAATTCCTTCAAGAATGTATCCCAATTTCCGCCGAAAGGGGGATTTTCTGCACTGAAATGTAGCAGATGGGGAGTGGCCCAATCTCCGGCACTTTCTGTGAAGAAGCCCAAGGCGGACTTGATAAGTTTCACTTGGCTTTTGGCGAGATCAGGTTGTTCTGACGCCCAATTTTGGAACTGAGCCATGAAGCGACGAGCTTCAGCGCCATCTTTACCCTTGAAAACCTCGGGTTTGTTCATGCTTGACTTGGACGATGAGCGTTCCTCCATAGCTGTAGCAAGGTTAGCTACTTGTCTGATGAGCTGAGCCATGAGATCCTCAGCAGAGGTATTTGGGGCAGGCGGGACAGGAGTCGACATGATGGGAGTAGGCAATCGGGGTTGGGGAATTGGCAGGAAGGTTATATTGCTCACAGTGAGTGGCTCTTGGATTGAGTTGGGAAGGGCGTTGGGGCAAGGTTGAGACTGGCAATCGCGCCAAGTATCGTCGTTGTTATGGGCGTGAGCTTGGTCTCTGGGGTCAAGTGCGTGCGGGAGTGCGGAGCAGTCTATACTGGCAGCAGGTGTTTCAGAATCGGGCGGGACTGGGGAAGACGTGGTATCTATCGATCCTGCAAGGACAACCTTATCGGTAGGCTGTCAGTGCAGTAATGGATCTTGACCTAATGTCACGAAGTGGCAGAGGCGGAGTGACTAACGGAGCAGGAAGCGGGGTGACTAAGCTAGGCAGTGAGGCGGAGCGACTAAGCGGAGCGGAGGCAAACTGGTCCCAGATAATGACAGAGATATATTGAGTATCGTAGTCATAGGTAGTAGTAAGTAAGCACATACCTGGTCCCAGATAATGACAGAGAGGTCAAGATAAGGGACCAGGCTGTGGAGGGTTGGCTATATATACATAATCCGGTCTGCGAGAAACAACGATGTAATACTGTACAGTTTAGGAACAAGGAAGGTGGCGGAAGCCAGTAGAAAGAGAAGATGGGTCAGATGGATCAGTAATCGATGGGGGTTTGACAGTGATGGGATGATGTATCGTACAAGTAAAGGCGTCGAGATGGTGAGAAAAGGAAAATGATAGGGGCTGCATACTTTATGACACTTCCGGAGCTCTTCTGAGCTTCTTTGCCCAAATTCCAGTGCCAGAGCTCCACCTACCTCCTGTCATGCCTCGCCCCGAATTCCATAGCCCATAAGCTCCTTAACATAGTTCCCAACCTCCTCAGTTCACTTCCCTGAACCCCTGAGAACACTCCCAACGCCCTGCAAACCTCCTTACTGCCAGGACAACCTCCACGATCCTTAGTTCCCCTCAATGCAACCGAACCACTCCACGACAGGGTCCTGGAACCCCGCACATGCGCCCATCATTCCGTCCTCATGTCCGTCCTCATGTACTTAGAAACCCCATTAAGTGCCCGTTTCGTACTCTGTCTCTTTGTTAACTTCCCTATACGTATTTACGCAGTCCAGTAGCGTCCAGAAGCCCAGCTTGGTATATTTTGAACACACACCCTTTACATAGGTCCAGTCCCTGTCCCTTTGTACCTGCTACCTATACGGAATTCTCTTTACTCTCTATTTCTTTATCTCTGTTTCTCTCAATTCTCGTCTATCGCCTCTTCGACCGTCTATACGGTCCAATACACGCTTTTACTTCACGTCTAAGCCATCCGAGTGAGTTCCCGAGCTCCCTCGAACAATACTAAAGCTCCCAAACGCCTACCGCCTTGGTGAGCTAACCTCCCCAAACCTCCTCGAGCTCCCTAGCCACTCCCTAAGCTTCGGGACCTCGATCTAAGTAACGTCGAAGCTACTCCTCACGTCGGACCACGTACCACTTCTCTGTTACCACCTACAACACTTGAGGACGTCCATCCTCTAGCCAGTCCCCGGGAACCTACCCTCCCGGGCGTATACCTTCTTGGGAGCTTACCCCCTCGAGACTCATTCCTATCTACAACCTATTCGAATCCTATATTGACGTTCTAGCGAGTACAACTCCTACTACGCAATATCCCAAGGTTCCTTACTTCTACCTAACCTCCTTACGCATTAGGGACCTCTCTGGACCTCCTAGGAACCCCCTCAAGGGTCACCCTTATTCGCCCCAGCTATTACTAGGTCATTCCTGTCCTCGGTCGCGGTTCCCGTAGCTCCCTTCAAGCTCCAGTCTGCTCCTAGCACGCTACAACATAAACTTTCCTATACCAAACCCCACCTTAAGGCCTATTCTGACCCAGGTCTTACACCTCCATTGGGCCACCAATTCAGCCAACAGATACCCAAAGTATGCTATACCAGACAAGGCTTGAGTTTCCAAGGCCTGAAGTATGCTAATTTTGGCCCAGGAAAATGCCAAAATTGGGTCCTAAAGTACACTAATTTGGATGGGGTCTGGTAGGAGCTTCCGGGGTCCTCACAAAAACAAACAAAAGAGGCTCACAAGGTGAGTAGAAAACATTGGCTCTGTATACTTTACGGTGACTAGCATTCCAGTCTTCCCTTTGGCATGAGGAAGAGCTATAGACCTTGGATTGACATTGGAAACAAACTCGCATAAAGTGGTCCTTGTCTGCAGTAGTGTTGCACTACAGAATCAAGCATGAGCGAATGTTTATGAATGAGGTCAAAATTTCACTCGCATGTCTATTGGCACAGATAACAGTCAACTCTTTTTTGTATCTCTATTTCAAAGCATCCAAGTGTGCAGCCTTGGCTAGTACTTTCCCCAAGCACTCCTGAATTCTGATAATGACAATTGGTCAGAAAAGCTGGAAGCATGAAGAGCTTGATTCATATACCTTGTTAATGGGACATAATGCTCTTCAGGCAGTCTCAAATTCGGATGTTATCCAACACATTCTCACATGTCCCTCTCAGAGATGTGAGCAGCATTATTAGTGCCCTTTAACCATCTGTAATCAAAAGGTTTCGCAAGCCCTCACGGTCAATGATATGAATTATGAAAATGTGTAAACCCATTATGGACTGAAAGTAGAAATGTTCAGCAAGTTTAGACACTCTGCGACAGACTTCAGGCTTGGTGGGATGCCTAATGGTCCTGGTTGACAACTCCAAAGCAAAGCGCCGGCTTTTAAGAATGACCAATAAATCATCTTTCCGGGAACTCTTGCTATGCACTCCATGAAAGTGACATGGAGAGCCATAAACAAGATGGTGGAGTGGTTCGAGATATGTTCAATGAGGAAGGTTATACAGACATGAGCACGATCAAAAGGCGCCTGGAGGAATGCTTGCATGAAGAGATATAGGATAGAGTGATGGGATGAAATGATAGAGAAAGCCCAGGCCTGGAAGATGATGTGATATGTGCTTGGTCTTCTGGCGATTAACGATGTGGTTTCAGATTCCAACCTCCAGTGACAGTACTTAGGACCCAAAAATACAATTGGGATGACATATAGTATGCATCCTGGAAATACTAGGCAACTCAACTAGTAGCTTGCTTCCTGAGGCATTTTCAACAAGAATTTGATCTGTTTGGTTCCTAAAGAAAAAGAGGTAAGTTGCAAGACAATTGTGTTGCATTTGGAAATTGTACACCAATGAAAACAGAGCTGTGAGCACTGCAATCATTTCCATGGAAGGCTCGCAGACATCAAAGTTATAATCTGCAGCAGGATTTACAGCTGAGGCAGGCTAAGGCACACATAGCCAGTGCTGTTTTTGGAAGGCAAGCTTTAGCTTCACCTGCCATAACAAGAACTCTGTTAGATGCTGGTGCCCCGCAAACACATTTGACAGCATTTGACAGTGTTGGCAGGCCCCCGGAAGCTCTACCAGAACCCTGTCTGGGCAAATGCTGTAAACTATGCAATGTTTTTGGCCTGAAATACACTATAACGGACAAGGTCAGTCATGTGAAATCCAAAAAATTTCCCTGAAATTTCCAAAATGGCAGTGTAAAGTACTCAAAATTTATAATTTTCAATTTTGCTTTTGGTGCTTCTAAACTACGCTATACTGGACAAGGACTGACCTATTGAGCTTTTAATATATGCTATATTTGGACAAGGAAATGGCTGATTTTGGCCTCTAAAATATGCAATTTCGGACAGGGTTTTGGGGGAGCTTCCGGGGGCCTGTGTTGGCATAACCGTTTGCTGATTCAGTGATAGTGGTCCCGAAGGAAGTCCCGGTAGCCTTTGTGACCCATCTGTGCTGTACACATACTATAATATTGCTGGTGCAGCTTCCAGAATTGGTGTAGTCTAGTGCTGTAACTGTGGATTGTTCTGGCAACGCAGCTGGACGAGGGTGTGAAAAGTGTGAAATTTGTCAGTGATCGGCGGATGCAAATGGAACCTATTGCAGAAGGTCAAAGCTGATCATATCAAACCAAAACCGGTCAAATAATTTAGAGCTACTGGGCAGATGGGAGAGGGTAAAATAGAAACACGGTACGTAGGAAGAGCGGAGGTGTAGTATTAGTTGGCAGTGAATTTTTTTGAGCGTATAGATCAAATTCCATAAACGTCATAAATTATTAACTTCTCTTAATCCTTTCTAAATTTAGACTCAGCTCAGTTATAACTGTATTTAAGGATGTTTTTTTACATAAATCACTTTGCCGGAGTGGTTAAAATCATGTCCGACAAACCGCTTTTTTATGGTCACCTTGCCGGAGTTTAACGGGATCGCCTGCTAATAGTGCTCAAGATGATCATGATGGTGTTCAGAGACGAGTTTTTTCCTCTAACTGGGACGTTTGTTTTCAACTGTGTCGCTTGCAACATATGCTTATCATGACACTCATTGCGCGGAATCTCACTAGAGAGAAGCTGCATAAATCAGTCTGGTGTGGAAGAAACCCAACAGCTCCCTCTTTCTTCACCGGGTTGCCCGCCACTCAGCGGAATCAAGTCACGAAAAGGATTGCCCTTCCAGTTATCGGACTATCCGTTTATACTTGGATTGCTGAGGTTCTATTATTATTATATGGAACACGAGTGTTGCTACTTTTTCCTTCCCCTCTGCTTCTCAGCCTCCTCGAGCACCTTCCGCTTTTTCTCCAAGCGCTCGATCCGTTTGGCCATCCTGTCTATGGCCTCAGGATCGCTACCATCCTTCACCAGGGTCACCTGGCGAATGCTCAATAAACTGATTGCAGAGGATATATATCCAATGAAACTCCCAGAAAGCGAAAGTTTGTTATACTTTTCACAAAGATCTGTAAGTTCCTTCTCGAACCCAACAATATTCTCCTCAAGCTGCTTGATTTCCTTCTGGGATCCTGCCATTAGAATCGTAACCTGGTCAGACTCGCTTTTCGCCGCTTCGTAACGCCGCAGGACCTCCCGGTCAATGACTGTATCTGTCTTGATCTTCTTCACCCATTGCGATCGATAGTGCTGATGGTCTTCAGCTAGATGGCCGCAGTCTTTACAGCGACGCTTTAGCAGCGCAACACCAGGTGTCTCCTCGAAAGAAGCGCACATCCTAGCAAGAGTCTCCCGATCCATAGTAAATCCAACGGTGCACTTAGTATGGCAATTCTTGTAACAGTTTCCGGCGACGCAGAGGGTATTGTGCACGGAACCAGTGTCTTCGTGTTCGTAGACAGGGGATTGTATGATCCTCTCATATTTCTCTCTCGTCATCGTATGGCCCTAGTTTTCAAAACTGATCATTAGAGCTTGTTCGACGGAAGGAGAGAAGAAACTTACTAGGGTCTGATAATCTTCTTGTAGCTTCTTCAATTTCATGCGTTTATCCTCCGTCTGAGTCATACCTGCAATCACGTTGGAAATGCGGACCTCGATATCTGTCGACATGATGTAGAGGTCGAAGATGCTGTGAGTCGGTTGGACCCTGCACTTGTCTAGGTATTGGAATAGCTCCGAGAGCATCTTCAATGTCTTGTTGTATCCACGACGAGCACTTCCCAACATTTCTTGCAAATCATCTTCACTAATAGGCGGATCCTTCAGGAGCTCTTTTTGATACTTTAACCACTGTGCAAAGGGATTGTCAACTGGCCATATGCGAGAGTTCTGCAATTGCTTTGGTAGCGAGGTCCTCGTGAAGTTATTTGATGAAGGGTTAGATACCATGGTAAGCACGAAGGCGATATTGTCGACGATGGAATTGGGAAACATGCCGGAAATTGTGGTAAGCGTATATTCGGTCGCAGCACCTAATCTGGGCAGTGTACCGTTAGCGAGAATGATGACTGCGTCGATAACATCGAAATTTGTCTTGATAGCTTCAGCAATGGCTGCCTGATGCTCCTTGTCCTTGTCTATACCGCGGGTATCAGCGAGACCAGGTGTATCGAGTATGTTGACCTTGTGCCCATTCGCACTGGTGATACTGTAGAAGCGCGGCTTATTGGTTTGGCTACCAGCTGTGCTTCCACCTTCCTCGTTATTAAGCTCGTTCTTCTCCTCGAATTCTTCCATTGGGACTCCGGCACATACGTTCGCGAGAAGGTTCAACATGGCAGTCTTTCCGACACCGGTTTCGCCGATAAGAACAATGTTCATTACGCGCTTGGCCCAAGACTGGATAGTCATGACCCTGAGTGGTTTATGACTCGTTTGAGCATTGGCCGTTTTAGGTTAGGGAACCACTGACCTTGCTGGCTTATCACCAGAAACATTGGTCCCTGCACTCGCAATAGGCACAATGGGAGCGTTAGTCGAGCTATGGAAGAGCCGCATCAGTACTTGAGATGTGAATTATAATACACAACATACTTTGAGAGACTGGATTGAGACATAGAGAAAATGTTTGAGATGAAGACTGTAGTTGATGCACTGAGCTCTTATATCTTCGTACCAGCTTTTTGTGCTTCAATCCATCAATTAATCTATCTCTTCGTTTCCTTTGGGACTCTTGCGGAATGCCTATGTCCTCTATGTCCTCAATTGAAATTACTTTCAGCCCTGTGGGTACGTTTCTTGTCACTTATTAGGCACACCCTAGCACCTTTCTTGTTCTTTGCAGGATGCATAAGGATGCACAGCACCCGGCATGTTACACAATGCGACCCAGGCCCAAAGTCAAGAGTGACCCTGCATAGGGGCCGACAGGGCCTGGTTCGCATGAACGGGGACACTACGGGAACTTGAATGATTCCATAAATCGTTTGGCGAGGATGCTAAAGAATATAAAGTTTGATAAATGCTGATATAGGCTGATATAGGTCGCTGTCAAAGACAACGGCTCTAGGATGAGTCCGAGTTTGATCAAGGGGGCTTTGGAACAACTTGTATTGCCCGAGACTACGAGGCAGGTACGAGTATGTTTTCAGAAGGCGTAACGAGACGTGACAGCCAAGATTGTGAAGGATAGTTAGAGGATTCGAATACTGACTTTGTTCCCAGTTTGTTCACAGTACGAAGAACGTATGCATTATTACAGGTTCAAACCGATTATGTCTGAGTAAAATGTATCAGTTTATGTCGAGGAAATGGAATTGAGAGTTGATTATGCTTACACCCAATCCGAGTACCTTGCTAAAGGGCATATATGCTAAGACGTCCAGATCATGAAATTTCTTCGAAATGTTGACCTTGCGAAAGTGCCAGTCTGACTCATATTTACTCCTAGGCTTGGTGTTGCTCCATTCCAATGCTCGATTAATCACAATAGATCACGAAACGTTAATTCCTCGTTGCGAAAAACAGAGAGATGCTACTCCGGCCCGGTACTTCCGAAATCTCGAGTCACCAAATTTGACGAAAGTACTTGCCAGACCAAGTTGGTTTGACCACAATCAACAATGACGCGGACGACCGATGATCTCTCCATAAATCCGGAATCATCCTGTCTCGATGCATACAGATCATCCATCGCGACCCAGATATCCTCCTCTCTGGATATACCCCTCAGTACGGCGTACGAAGGTGTTGATTTTGGGAAGAAAGGCATCGATTTCACGGTGGCAATACCTCGATTTCGTCTGAAAGAAAAACCCGCAATCTTAGCGGATAAAGTAGTTTCAGAGGTACTCTCAACACGTCTCCTCCTTTCTTGCACATCTAATATGGCTTTCCTCCACCTCCCGCTAGTTCACGCCGAATGAGTATCTACAGTCTATTACTCGAGACGGAATCTTCCTACATTATATCTGTCATACTACGAATCTCATTCGAACCGTGTTAAAACAGATATACACGCTTTCCAAGCCCACAGGATCGCACCCTCATGGCTCTTACGGATGCAATAACTCTGGATCCGGAAAGCAGATTGTCATCGAGTTTAGCAGTCCAAACATCGCTAAGCCATTCCATGCGGGACATTTGAGGAGTACTATCATCGGCACGTTTCTTGCCAACCTGTTTGATGCGAATGGCTGGAAGACTATTCGTTTGAATTAGTCAGTGTCGTGGTCCTCCTACCTGTCAATGAGACTGATCATCGTCGCTACAACTAGCCTCGGTGATTGGGGAAAACAATACGGATTACTCGCGATCGGTTTCCAGAGATATGGATCGGAAGAAAAACTCACGAATAATGCCATTCTGCATTTATTCGAGGTTTACGTTCGAGTAAACAAAGACGTCGAGAATGAGAAAGAGAACAATCCGAACAAGTTTTCACCTACTAATCAGGAAGCAAAGGAACTCTTCAAGAAGATGGAAGACAGTAAGTGGCCTATATTCTGTTACGATTGACCCTGTTGACTCTGGAAACTCTCAACTTTCTTCAGATGACAAGGAGACCCTTGATCTTTGGAAGCGCTTCCGTGACCTCTCAATAGTTGAATACGAAAAGCTCTACAGGAGACTTAATGTTCGATTTGATGTATACGGTGGGGAAAGCCTCGTCAAAGAGGACCTAATAATGGACAGTTTGGAGAAATTAAGAAGCAAAAACCTCTTGACCAAGAAAACAGAGCGTGAAAGTCGAATTGGAGCTGCTGCTCTTGCTGCTGAAACTATATCCGATGGTCAAGATATCGGCGACGATGATCAGGCCCCCGATGCATTGGCTCTCGATTTTGACCAGTATAACCTTGGAAAGCCTGTGGTACAAAAGGGTGGTTCGTGCTTTTCGTACCCCTTCTGTCTTTCACGAGAAGATCCTCAAAAAACCTCTTAGATGGTACAACGATTTACATCCTTCGGGACATAGCTGGTGCTCGCCAACGATACCAGTTATACAACTTTAACAAAATGATATATGTTATAGGCGATCAGCAGGATCTTCACGTCCGTCAATTTTTCAAAGCTCTTTCACTCATGGAAGAACCATTCGCAGATGAACTTGAACATGTAAATTTCGGGAAGATTCATGGTATGAGTTCACGAAAAGGCGAAGTCAAGTTCCTTTCAGACATTTTGGACGCGAGCAAAGAGGCGATGTTGGATCAGATGAAGAAGAACGACGAGAAAATGAAGGATGTCACTGATCCGGAATATACGAGCGATGAGGTTGGGATGACTTGTGTCAAAATACAAGATATGTCTGCTAAACGGTCTGTAACTTTTTCTCCGTTATTCGTCTGACCTATATTGATTGCTTTTGAAAAGTGCACATGCCTATACGTTTGATCTCCAAAGGATGACTTCCTTCGAAGGCGACACAGGCGCGTACCTTCAATACGCACATGTCCGTCTCTGCTCTGTACAGCGCAAAGTCGCTTTGGACGGCATCATTCCCCGGGACAATCCTGATCTCATCGACACTACGCTTCTCACAGAACCCAAAGTTCGAGAACTTGTGTTCGCCCTTGCCTCATACCCTGATGTGGTCAAGACAGCGATGAAAAATTACGAACCATCTACGATCGTCTCATATTGTTTTAAGTGCGTCCACATTCCCTTTTGGTTCTTGTTCTCATGTTTCTTATTTGATCGTTCAGAATTAGCCACTTGGTCAGCTCAGCTTGGGAAACGCTAATCGTTCGCGGGCAAGAGACTGAACTTGCTCAAGCCCGGTTATATGTTTTTCAATGCACTCGTTCTGTTTTAGCCAGTGCTATGAGATTACTTTCGCTGACGCCCTTGGATAGGATGTAATCTGTGTCACCTCTTGTTTCTTTGATGTGCTTTCGTACTGCTATCTAGTTTGCTTTCTAAATAACGAGACCTTGGTTATATGCCTGGACCCGCCAAGGCAGCGCACATTACGACGCGGAAGGTCAGATACTGGAGTGCTATTGGGATGTTCAAATCTGTTTGACCATATGGAAGATTGTTGAGCGAGTGCAACGGCAGGACGGACTGCTTCAAATCTATCCTACTCTAAACTCGACCGTAAGATGCCGAACAATTTGCCAACAGATTTCGAAGTAAAATTTGAGAGTTCGTCTCCTCTTTGGTGTGATTAAATGGGGCGATTTCACCATGGGTACAACAGGGTACAGCTTGCAGATAATTGTTGGGTGCAGGAGGTGGGTGCAGTGTGGGTGCATGACATCAGTGACACCGCGCTGTCACGTTGTCACATCTTTACTCAATCCTCCGATTCCACTCCGGAGTCCTAGCAGGGTCCTAGCTCCGCATCTTAGCCTTTCTAGTCCTGTTTCGCTGCAAAGCGCGAAATCTTCTGGCTCTCAAGCAAATCTCTAAATATTCTCCTACTTCTGCGATGTCACATAATCCCCAGTCAGACTCGACAGGCGTCTCACGGACGAAGATTCTCCTACTTGGTTTACGCAGAAGTGGTAAAACGTCAATTCAGCAGGTGCTGTTCGATAGCATGACCCCAAAAGAGACCTTCTATCTGGATGCTACAATGAGAACTGTAAAACACACGTATGAGTGAGTCTTACTTTCCAAGCTTTTCTATCTTTGTTCTTCCATACTCTGGTACTTTGGTTGATTTTTTCTCATTATTCAAGGCAAACAATCTCATTATAACTGTACTCTAGCACGATCATACCTTTGGAGATATGGGATTGTCCAGGGAACATAACCGTCGAAACTCTTGGTGTTCCGCTCTCTGTGTTTTCTACGCTTGTATTCGTGATTGACATCCGCGTACGTCTGTTATCTCGCTTCTTATACTTCATATCCCTAATCTCCGACAATGTTAGGACCTCTACAACCAACCTATCTCCCGTCTCGTTGAATTCATTATCGCCGCATACCACCACAATCCTTCTCTCAACCTCGAGATATTCGTTCACAAAGCGGAGAAACTACAAGAGGATGAGAAGATTGAAAATTTCAGACAAATAAACGAAAGAGTAATGGACAGATTAATGGACGTGTTGCCTTCGTTACCAAATCTTCCTAATTCCAGCTCCAACTCCGGTTTGAATACATCCGGTTCAAGTAACGCACAGATAAATAGTCCAAACAGCCCAAATTATCTCAGTTGGCAGGACTTCATTGAGCAGCAACTCCTTATGAATTTCTATCTTACTTCCATCTTCGACCACTCGTTACATCAGGCATTCTCAAAGGTGTTGCAAAGGTTAACGGACTCATTACCGTATCTTGAGGAATTGCTGAATATATATTGTGCAGTTAGTGTCCTCTTTTCTCTCTTCCTCGTATCATGCTGTAACTCGTTTCTTGATCGTAGAACTCCCAAGCGTCCAAAGTGTTCCTTTTCGATGCCCCTTCGAGATTATATGTTGCCTCTGACGCTTCACCCGTCGACACTGCTACCTACAATCTGTGCTGTGATAATTTGGCAATGATTAACGCCTTTGGGACGGGTTTGTATAGGTGAGAGTTCGCCTTCTACCTTGTACGCTCTACATTTTGTTTGGTCGAAACTTGTTTTTGATATCCACTCGTGTATCTTGGTTGATGAGAAGTTAATTCACTGACCTTGAGATCTGTGTCCAGATCCGTATCCGCAAGTCCTGTACGACGACGACGGGGCAATCTCAAACCTTCCGATTTCCGTAATCACGATTCCGACATACCAGCCACACCACCACCATCTGCGTCTAGTGTCAATGGCGAATCATTGACGTCCGTGATGTCGCCTTCACTGACATCCACACATCCCACACCGTCCAGAAAGTCTACGGGAGTATCAGGAAAGTCAACATCATCAATGGACACATCCTCAGTCTCTGCTTCGACGTCGTCTCTCGGAGCGCCAAGTACATCTACATTAGTATCAACCGCAACAATTACGAAGATGTCGCACCATCCACATGATCACTACTCTAGCACCACCTCAATTTCCCGAAAAATTCGACTACAAACACCTCAAGATTTGTTTTACCCTTCCGGAGCTACTTCATTACAACCCTCTTCTCTCCCACATTCGTATTCATCTTCGACGTCGTCATCAGGGATGCCCGTGACAGGGACGACAATCATGTGGCATCTTGTGACAACGGGGGAGACTAGTTTGATCATGGAGGCGGGTTTCGTCTCGTCATCGAGTGAGTATGGCTCAATTTCAGCGGAGGGTAATCTATCCTCGCGGAATTCTGTAACCTCCGTTCCAGCATCCATATTCACTACATACAACAACCCTACCCTAATTCTACTTGTATTGCTCCCGACATCTGTATGGGAAAGCCGGCGGGGGCTGGTAGAGTTGAATGTGATTGCTGTGAGGGAGGGTGTGCAGGAGATCGTCGATTTGGAGAGAGAGGGAAGGGGAACAAGAGTTGTGGGAGGCGCATTAGCATCGCAATCGAATCGACGGTCGTAAGGTGGGAGATAGTACATATAGAGTAGAGCAAGGACGAGAATATCGTATGGTTAGGCTGTTTCTGCCCCGTGGAAAGAATAATTTATGTAGATGCTTCCATATCTTATACCAATATTTTATAGACTTCTAACAGGTCATCATAGTGCCATCATACAAGCTTTCTAGATGAATAAATCCTTGATTGTTTGAACCCTTAGCCGCAACAATTACTTTCGAACTAAAGCGTGACGGGCGTGACGGCGCGTTAGAGTAATGTAAGCGCGCTTCCTTATCAATCACCCTATCTTTGACCATGTCGCAACCAACCTTTTCCTCGACATCGCAAACAACAATCACCCCTCACAATCAGCAGCCTTTTGTCACGCGGAACTACCCTACCGAATCCGAACTCGATGCTACGATAGTGAGGGCCGCTGAGGCACAGAAGGCTTGGGCCAAGGTCCCATTAGAGGAGAGGATTAAAATTGGCCGGAAATTCATCGTTAGTAATACATTCTATCCCTCCTACTACCATTTGCCTATGTAATATTGATATTCAGGATGAATTCAAATCCTTGGCCCAGTCCTCCGAACCCAATCTTTCTCTTGAACTAACCTTGCAAATGGGTCGACCGATTTCACAAATCCAAGCCGAAATAAATGGCTTCTTGGACCGTGCAGGATACATGCTATCAATTGCTTCTGAAGCTCTGGCGGACATACCCTTGACGGATACCGATAAACCTGGATTTCGACGGTTCATTAAGAGAACACCATTGGGTGTGATATTGGTCATTGCCCCTTGGAAGTACGCATCTGAAATTTCTGACCTATGGCTCGCCCTCATACGATATACCCGCTCAGCTACCCATATCTAACCTCGATAAACTCTGTCCTTCCCGCTCTCATTTCTGGCAATGCAGTGCTACTCAAACCATCTCCGCAAACTCCATTAACAGCCGAACGATTCGCTTCTGCCCTGGTCTCTGCAGGAGTCCCGCCAGACGTCATCCAAGTGGTACATCTTAGTCCGGAATTAACGCGACATGCAGTGGAGAACAAGAATGTGCAATTCGTCAGCTTCACAGGCAGTGTTGGTGGCGGGAAGAAGGTCGAGGAAGCAGCTGTCAATGCGAAAGGATTCAAGGGCGTTGCGCTTGAAGTAAGCGATATTCAGGAAACTTCGATTGTGGTGTCCCTTTGCTGACCTGCTTACAGCTCGGAGGCAAGGATCCAGCGTACGTTCGGGCGGATGCAGATTTAGATTACACTGTTGCTGAGCTCGTAGATGGTGTGTACATGGATCGATTACGTGGGTTCTCATTTAAACTTCGACAAATAGGCGCGATGTACAATTCTGGTCAGAGTTGTTGTGCGATTGAGGTATGTGTTGTCAGCCAATATCATCACCGTGCAAGCTGATACTCGATATGTCATTCACCTTCGGCAGCGCATTTACGTTCACGAATCTATCTACGATCCATTTGTTGAAAAGTATGCTAATATTGTCAAGGTATGTAGCCTTGCTTGCGTCGATACATCCTTCGTTCGCTCGTCGCGGTTGGTTCTCTGAATACGGCATTGACTGACCTCCCCCATTCTCATAGCAAAACTACAAACTTGAGGATCCAACACTCCCCACGACCAACCTCGGACCTGTCGTCTCACTTGCTAGTGCAGAACGAATTCGTAAGCAAGTAGATGATGCGGTAAAGGCTGGTGCAAAGAAATTGATCCCAGAGGAGTTGTTCCCCGAAGCGAAAATGTGAGCTGATGTTCCGTTTCTTTGATTGCTTAATTCATCCATTCATCTGTATAGTGGGACGACGTACGTAGCACCACAAGTGTTGGTCAATGTAGATCACTGTGAGTGTCATTTTTCTCACGCTTCTTCCATTCAACGAATACTAACTTCAATGACAGCAATGGACGTTATGATGGCAAGCCCCACCACCAATCCCCATGTCATAGTCTGAATTTCTGACCCGTCTGCGCAGGAAGAAACCTTCGGCCCCGTCGTTGGAATTCAGAAAGTCTCTTCAGATGAAGAAGCCATCAAACTCATGAACGACTCGCCGTATGGGCTTACTGCCTCTGTATGGACCTCTGCATCGACATCGGAATCGTCGGAGGAAGCCTTTCTAAATATCGCAGATCAGATCGAGACTGGCACAGTCTTTTTGAATAGATGTGATTACCTCGATCCTGCGTTGGCTTGGACGGGGGTGAAGGATAGTGGGAGAGGAATTAGCTTAAGTCGTTTTGGTTAGTGATTTCATCATTGTGCCTTTTCAGCTGTTCTGACGGATGTCGATCAAACTGCGCAGGATTTGACCAGTTGACACGGGCAAAGAGCGTTCATATGAAGATTAAGACTGGTTGAATTGCGAGTGATATATTTCTAACGAGGTTGAGGCAGTTGACGATATTGACCTTGTGCTATTGATGGTACTGCCTTTTGGCGAGAGCCTCTCAAGGCGTAACATAGCGGAATGTCGATCTGTAAGGGCAGCCCGCTGAGGTCTGTGAATAATAATATCTATTCCCGGACAGTGAAGCGATTCGGATTTTAGCTCAGCAAAAGTTCTAGTCATCGATGTATGTATGATTTGATGTTATTTTCAAGTTCCATGTTTCTACTACTTACTTGGTATGAACATCGATGTGCGTATAATCATTACGCGGCCAAGCCTGTATCCTGAAGAATCCTTTCTACTTCTGGAAACCGAGGGGAAAAATGACAATCGAAATCTGGAGTGGAACTTGGGATATCATTATAAGGTGATCAGCATATATAAAATACAGGTGCAGTAAAAGTCCTCTTACTTCAATATATCTTGAGCTTCTCTGTGTTTTTCCTCAAGATTTGGAGTTGCATTGGCCTTGGGCTCGATATAAAGTGCCCACAAAATCGTGCACGCAGTGATGAATAGAGAGTTTTCGGCCACGTATCGTCCAACACATATTCTACTTCCTTTCAGTATGTATTCAAAGAGAGAGAGAGGGGGGAGGGGGGGGGGGGGGGGGGAGGGAGGGAATGCAAAGAAAAAACGGCTCACCGCCTGCCAAATCCATAAGTGTAATGTCCATCATTATTTTCGAATTCAGGGCGCAGTACAAATGCGTCGCCAGTTTCCGATTTCTGAACAAATCGCTCAGGAGAAAACTGGTCAGCATCTGGACCATATGTCTCTTGGTCGCGGTTCATTGACCTAAAGCGATTATCGAAAGCTCAAATCAATGGTTGAAATTAGGTTGACGGTTAGCGGTACTCACCATACGTTGGGAAATATAATTGTTCCTTTGGGTATGAGATAACCCTCATACCAATCATCCTAAAAAGAACTAAACGATTGCATGCACAGATAGTTGTAGGGTAGGAGCAACCCACCTCCATTGCAGCATGCGGTACAGCCAAGGGCGTTACAGGCTGCCATCTCAAAACCTGAAATTCAAATGTTAGTGGGACAAGTTAGTCGCTTGGATATTGCCATGTTTCATAACCACACTGCACCTCTTTGACAATTGCCTTGATGTATGGAAGCTGCGTCATATCATCGAACGTTGGCATCCTTGACCTCCCTACAACTTCATCTAGTTCCCTTTGTGCACGCGCCTGCACATTCGGGTAAATGCTCATGGCATAAAGAAAGTACGATATGGTGACAGTCGTCTAGTTTTATGATTTGGTAATGCATACTAGCGGGTAATGGCGGCCAAGAAAACGCACCGTGTCGAGAGAGGCAGCACTAAATTCAATAAATTTTGAGCGATTTTTTTTGATACAGTCATGGTATGAACCTACGAGATGGCCCCAGTTACCCAAACCTTTTCAACTGCAGTCAACTCGCCCGCTACTTCATTTTCTGCAAGGCTGACACAAAGGTTGGGTTGCTGATTATTGTGATTAACCTTCCCAGCATAATTTAATTAGTAATTGTATCAGATCTCCCCCGAAAACCAAGTATTTGTACTCACCGTAGTATTGTAATAATTTTCGTAGAGATTTGTGGTTTGCTGAAAGGTGCGTTTAGCATTCCTTTTCCACTTTGCCATTGCTGTAGGAAGATAATCTAATATCGGTAGAAAATCGACTAGATGTGCACCTGGAGCCAAAGCGTTGGTGAATGTATGCACAGTGTCTGTGAGAGCCTGTAGTGGGTCTAAAGGAGAAGAGCCGAAAGTTTCAGATGAATGGTTTTCCGGGAGTGCATCTGACTGCTTTGGCTTCTCGGAGGATTCTAAAAGCTGTTTACCATATATTACCGAAATCATAGTAGAAGCCGATCTAGAGACATTTCAAAAATTGTGAGAAGTAAGTAAACGACTGACATACCTAGCTATCTTTGTGGACAAGGGGGAAGACGTGTCGTACAGCAGTTTGTGTGCAAAAATAACAGCTTCTTCAATTTGAACAGGTTGATATTGTGCACTAGCGCGGACATTCAGAACTGCATGAGCTGCGCGGCGCATTCGCTGCCATCTATGTATATGTACCAAGTTAAGCCGAAGTTCAGAAATCTCAGGCAATCTATACATCATATCAAGGCACGTACCGTTTGTCATATCTTACGAACGGCATTGTTAACGCTGTTCCAACATATTCGCCTACAATACTCTTTGGCCGATCTGAGTAGATTGCGGATCGACGTTCTAAAAGTTCTATTGCTGCAGCTTTAGTGTTTAGAACAACGATATGTTGGCCTGCCAGGTTGAGATACATGATGGGGCCTAGGGAACGAGGTTAACGGTGTTCTTACTGTTGAACTTGAGTGATTATGCAGACACATACCGTATTGAGACTTCCATTTATCAAAAATGAGCCATATTTGAGAAACCGAGGCCAGTTGCAGGGCGTTCCCCAAGATGGGCAACCCTCGAGGACCAGGAGGAAGGCGTCCTCTATTCTTGAAGCCGAGTACCAACCGAAAGGTCAGGAGAATGAGAGCAGCAATAAACACGAGTTTCATCGGAAGGAATTTGCCTACATCCACACTATGGAAGAAACGAGAGGCATAGGGGAAGAGTTTGGAGTGCATTGCGAATGGCGGGTCCTTTGCCCAAAGCATTGTCACTTTAAGTAAAGTTTACATTCTATACATACCATGTTACCTTTCGGACCAGTTGCTCCCAAATATGAATCTTAATCTTGAACCGATTGCAATGAGACCTATTAAAACTAATTTGAATTATAAATACCTGAATCAAATTAGTTTATCATACCTATTTTCTGAAATCACAGCATTTCTTCTCCAGGTTCATTCCAACCGTCCTAACTTCCTTTCAAATATATGCATAGCAGTTGATCAATGAGATTTTATGACAGAAAACTAATGTTTTAAGAACACCCTATGTACTGAATGCCGGACAGTCAATTCTTGCGAGCTAAAAAAGGGGAAACACTCAATTTTAGACGTCGTCCGCTACTAGCGTTGGCGTCTTCTTCCAATTCACACACCACAGCATCTATGCAAGTCACTATGAGGAAAACGGGACTACGGCACGAGCAATCACTAACTGCCTGTCTCCATCACCTCTACCCTCATTAAGTAGTCCATTAGATAGTACCAAAAATGAACTACAAAGAGTCCCATCAACGGCTGGTCCAAATCATCGTTATCCATGGGCGCTTAGAACCCAAAGAGGAAGGACCTGCCAGTGCAAGCCCGCGGTCAGGTTCAAGCCACACTCAAAATTATATTCTTCACTTCTACGCCAATTGACGGACGACGAACACCGGACTCGTCTTTATCGGGCATGCGGCATTGAGGCTGCGGAAACCCCTTTGTTTCCAAAGCACAGGATTGTCAATAGTGATAACCCTTCGCCTAGACTTTCTCCTTTCACTTCGACCTCTTCCGACCACAACATGCTCATCTATACGACAACGTTTGTCCAACGACGAGGGAGATGGAGATAGTGGCGAGGATAACGAATAGCACTTTTGGGAACCTGATAATGTTGTTTACCTGTTCTATTATTTTGTGTTGTATTTTCCTCTGCCTCTACCATCTATTTGCAGGGTGAGCATTCGCTGCGGTTATTATGATTGGGCCCGTCTGTAGCGGAGCCGCGTATCTAGTTATCTATCCGCCGTTTTGCTCCCCATTGAACTTGCGACGCCATTGGCACTAAGTACTCAGTGGGACTATGTTTCCTTCTAAACTGCTGACCTTCGGCGAAAGATCAAGACACGTATCCAGTGTTTCATTTGTGAATGTGGGGGCGGGAGGGAATTGCTCAATACAGACCGGGTACTTATGCCGGGTCATGAAGTTAATGAAGAAAGCTACTGAAGGACGGCATCTACGTGTGCATTGAGTACTTGCGGTCCAAAAATGAGAAAGTCAGGGAGAAAATACCGTCTCAGCCGCGGTGATTCATGTTGGGAATGCCGAAACACAAGGTATTCCTCATTCGGTACATCGACATACTCCATAGTCTGTTTCTACACCGTGATAAGTTCGAACGCATACGCACATGCAACATGTCAGAAGGAGACTCAAAGAGTACGTACATGCATGAATAAATTCGAAACTTGAATGGCCTATCTACCTTGAGATGTTTACCGGACCACTACAGGGTTTTTCATGCAGAATTCCGTGTGATTTTTTTTACCTTGGTCCAATTTCTGGATGTTCCGGAATCTGCGACCCGACGTAGCAATAACAACCACCCGCTCAACATCCCGACACACTGTCATCACATTTGTGCTTATTAATTGTCAGAATGCCTCGATATATGAAAGCAGCCTCTCTATACTAGGCATTTCGAACGATATTCCCCGAATCCTCTTCTTTTTGCAGCTATTTTGTGAAATTTCGGGTGCATGTCCATCGTGAGGAGACAGTGAGCGGGTGTATGGTGTTGTTGCTGGCACGATGCCAAGCGGTCCCGGTCAGGGCATAACGAGGGCTTTCAAGGAGATTGCTCACAGTAGCGGCCTAGGTAGTTGTTAAGCGAAGAGACAGTGCACGGACCACTTAACGTCCGGAACCTCGGCCCGGGCAAAAGCTCATGATTATATGATGGACGAGGACCAAACGCGTACCTCCTATTCTGCTCTCCGACAGCAATCTTCCCACTGGCTTTTTTGTCGCCTCCTCCGGTTCTGAATCATCATGGATTCAGTGGAACAACACATCAAATCATCAGCCTGCTCTTCCGTTTGTCTCCGATGCTCATCGGGTGGTTCAGGGAGCAACGATCAGAGAGCTTCAGAGAGGATGTCGATGATGGGTGACATTCAAAGTCCGAGGGGTATCTAGAAGGGTATTTTCGGAGGATTCAAGAATTGGATGAGCTCTACAATGTAATGCCATTGAAACATGTAACGAAGCGCGCTTCAAAGTTCCAGGGTGTCGCTCTGCTCACCTTGTACACCAAAGGTTCCTCAATCCCTCTTCATCGACATCGACGTCGACGATGACCTCTCTAGTTACGAGGGACAAGACCCTCGTGCGCCCGGACATTTCAAATATCAATTTGTCGGCCAATCTTAACCGGCGCTTTAGGGTTAACTTTAGGTCAGTATGTCCTCCATTACTTGACTTCAGAAATAACAACGGTTGCTTTCAGAACGATCCCAATATCTTCATATATTCCTCCATGCCTGTTTTCTTCTGTCCGCTATCGTACGCTTGAACGAAATTGGACCGTACAATGCTCAACAAATACTATTACACGTTTCGCTAGGGATTATCAATGCTGAGATGGATAGGTGTGAAGATTTGCGTTCATCAATACACTTGAACCTCGACTCAAATAGATCCAAAAATTCGGGATATTTCTACAATGGACCTACAAATAAATGGCCTCTAGGCGAAACTCTTGGTGCAAGGCATGACTTAAAACCCTCGGGAATCTTCAATTCATGGTGTTCGACAGTCTCTAGTGTATCCTCGTTCTCTTGCCTTTTTCTGGCTTCCACACAGTGTCACCCCGAATTTGCTGATCACGACTTATCTTGCAACTTGACGTTGGTTTCTACCTTCCTTTCTCTCCCTGAACTGCATTTAGGCCTGAGGGCGCTACTGGGGCGCTAGCTTCGGATATGCTTCTCCGGGGATCAGTGCTCAGCGCTTCGGCTCTTAGCTGCTTTTCTTTTGGTTCAACGTGAACCTATGCCTTCAACACACTTTTATTCGATTTGCTCTTGGACTAATTCCGAAACTATTAATTACTACTCTTTTTGTGCGGTCGGACTTGAATTCCTCAGACCTTGAAATTATGATGATTCCCCCTACTCCTTCCTCCCACCCGCAATACCACTCCAGATCAAGCCACGAGTAATACTGGTTTCGGGTCTCCCACAACCACTCACGGGCCCAGGTGCAGGCACAATTATCAACCCACCACCATTAGCATACGACACAGAGACCAGCCGGATTCATGCAGAATATAATATGAATGCTGCAGTACTCCGCGTAAGGTATGAAGCAGAAGTTGGGCATGCTCAGACAGCGCACTCTGCAAAGATGCATCGTATACGTTTACGCTGTCAAGGCTTGAAGAAATATACCGAAAAGCTCACCACACTACTCTCTCCCATTCGCCGTATTCCTAGCGAAATTCTGTTGCGAATCCTCGTCCATTTCTGCGACCAGAATGATTTGACCAGCTACGAACCTGGTGATGCTTCTGCCCTTACTATCAGTGCCGTTTGCACTCGTTGGCGGCAGTTGGCTATATCTCAACCAGCTCTTTGGGCAAACCTCAAAGTAAAGTTCGATGACCAATGTGAAGACGACGAAGAAAAAACCCAAGCTCTATTGGTGTCCCGTGTGGAATTGCATCTAGCTCGATCCCAAAATCATCCTCTTACATTGAGCCTCTTTCCGCTAAGCTCTAAAAACCATCCTGCTCTCATATTGGTCGCTCGAGAATCTCGACGGTGGAGGCGATTGTCTTATGGCGGCGACGATTTTGGTTCAAATTGGAACTCTTGTCTTCAATCATTGCCTTTACCTATGCTGGAGGCGGTACGGTTTGAAGAAACAGAATACTGTGACGGACAAAGTCCACCGATAGAAGCATTTTCCCAAGCTCCTAATATCAAAGAGCTCAATCTTCGATGTATCTTCATTGACCAGCATGTCACTGCAACCTTCGACGGTGCCTGGGAGATGCTCACAGACCTCAGCTACCATTTTACAGAAGACCTCGAGGGCTTTTTATCCATCTTGGATTGTTGCCCCAAGCTCCGTCGTCTCACTTTAGAAGGAGAAAATTCAGATCTAATCCCGGTTCACCCCATACGCTCACATCCAATAGCATCTCTCAAGATATTGAACTTGGTAAATCCACCCAACGACCACGATTCTATGCTTGAGTGCATACTGACATCGCTCCTGTTGCCTGATTTGACTGAACTTGTGCTCTTGCACATTGGCGACGTAGAAGAACCGTTTCTCATGCCATATCGTATCCTGGAGCATTTCTTCCAACGTTCGCGCTGTCCTCTGTCGACTTTGACCTTGGGACAGATCTGTATGACAGACACAGATATGATTGCACTATTAGCCCACCTGCCATGTTTACGGGAACTAACCTGTGAGGATCCAGACGACGGCGACTCATTTATCACCAGATCCTTCATTCGAAGTCTACACACTTGGGAACGGGACAGTCTTCACCGTTCAATTGAGCCTCTTGTTCCAAAGCTGCGTTCCCTGACGTTGAAGGCTCATAGAAAGGAGTTCGATGCGCCTACCTTTGTTGAAACTATCACCTCTCGTTGGCTTCCGGATGAAGCTAGTGCAACGCAACTCGGTGCTTCATGCCTGAGATCAGTCGAATTGCATCTCGAGGGAGTGGTTGATGCAGATGCTTATGAGCCACTCAAGCGATTCGACAGGGCCGGGATGCGAGTTGTCGTCAAATCGAAAGGTTTAAACGGCTTGGTGAACTTGGTCTGACCATCTTTGCCACTCAGTCTGATTCAGGTCTTTCCTCGGACCTCTCTTTATGATGCTTGTCCACATTCTCTTCATGGTTGCACAATGTGAGACCAATGTATAGTTCGAAATATTTTATCTATACGTTATCTGGGTATATTATGTGGGAAAACCACTACGAGGAGTGACTATAATATTCGAGACTTTATTCTATCCATTTAATCAAAGTGACGCCGTCTGTAATGTATGTCTCTTGGAGTCTTGGGCATAGTAATCATGGTCTGTTGAATCGAAGACAAGCGATGTTCAACATCTCAGTGGGGTACAGCTGATAAGCTGAGAAACGTACGTGGTAATTGTGAGCGGGGACGCCAGTCGGAATCTTGAACTCGAGCTTGCGAACAAGAGTAGATAGAATTGTTCCCAGCTGAAGGTAAGCGAACTAAGGGAGAAGCGGGAGAAAATTAGCCACATTGAAAAATGTATGCTGCTGCTTACCTGTTCTCCAATGCACCGATGCCTGCCTGCCCCGAAAGGCTGATACGGGCTATCCGTTCCCTTACTGACCGCGCCGAACCCGAAATCAATCTTCTCTCCATTCTCATCGGTGTATTCCTTCAACGCACTCATCGCCACACCCTCAGGATCATTCCACCGTGTAGGCTCCCACTCGGACGCGTTTTTCCATATTTTAGGATCCATCTGAGCAAAGAGCGGAGAAGCCAGGACAACGTGACCTTTGCGAACGATATACGTCCCGCTACCCGATTTCGAGGAAGGGGCTGCGAGGGTTGGTGGGATAGGGACGTCGTCTCGGACTGCACGCATGATACTATGAATAGGAGGGTGGACGCGGAGGGTTTCGCGAATGACAGAATCGAGTACAGGCAGGTCCCGGAGGTCTTCGTAGGTCAGTGGACGGAATTTACCCGGCTGACCATTGATGCCAAAGTGTTTCACTTGCTCTTGGTATAATGCTTCACTGTAAGCAAGGAAAACAAGCGAATTAGATCAAGAAAATGCCAGATGAGAACAAAGCTCACGCGACGTCCTCTCTGTCAGCCAAGTGCAGTAAAGCCCACGAACCGGTAGCGGAAGAAGTATGTTGGCCGGCCATGAGAAGGGCTATCATGATGTGTGCGATTTCGTGGTCCCGGAGACTTTTACCGGAGCGATATTTCTGGTTGATAAGTGCGGCGATCATGTCGTGCTGTGTGATATCGTATCAGCGAATGAACGAAGTCAACTGAAAAAGTCCTAACCTGTCCACTTCCCCCACCAGCCCTCCTCTTCTTGATGAATTCGACATAGAAATCGCTCATCTTCTTCTGTGCCCTATCTCTCTTCCTATAACTCTCCAAAGGCAAATTCGGGAACATGAAGTTGATCGGGGTGAATCCTCCATCTAAATCCGTATATGTTTGAGCAAAGTTGGTGGTTATGCTGTCTCTAACTTCGGACCCTTGCAATGTCCTTGAAGCAGTCAATATTGTGATTTCAGAGAGTACTTTCACTGATTCAAATTTCCCCCAAGGGTTGATATCGTTTTGTTGATAGATGGAGAACGATGGATCGTTGGCAAGAAATTCCTCTACTTCTTGTTCGATCATGCCGACATAGGCGCGGAAATTGTCAGTTGAAAGACCAACTTTGACGAATTTCTTTTGTTCCATGAAAACCTCGTTGGGGACATCGTAGACTACGTCGCGTCCAAAGACTGGGGTAGTTAAATGCTACCCATTTTTTCATTAGAACCAACAAAGGAGATAAGCTAATAAGACACGCGTACCGTGTAAGCATCCTCCGCGTTCAACACCGTGCTCTTGCCACCCAGAACAAAGTTGTTTCCCTTGGGACCCAAACACACGGTCACTTTGCGGCCCAATAAAATAAACGTGAAAACGTTTCCGTACTAAAAAGACACGAATCAGCCCATACGACATGGAGAGACACAAAGCCAAGTGCGCACCTTTGCTTGAGAAGAAATGAAGAACTTCATAGGGTCATTTCCGTACTCGATTGCTGAGCCGACAAAGGGGATCCAGTGAAATACAAGCGGAGGGTCTGTTTTCGAGCGGGGTATAATCTGCACAACCGAGAAAAAAAACATGCCAGTGTCAGTTATTGGTATCATTCAAAAAAACATACAAAATATTGGTGACACACCAGCTGCCATAAGACATTGAACACGATAGCGAGCAGCGGTATGTTAACGAGGGCGAGCAAAACAACTCTGGTCGACGCTATCTCCTGAGCTTGAGCAAGGTAGCCTGACCAGGCGTCAGGTATCGTGAGCGGTCCAATAGTGCTATTCATCTTGTACCAGCCTCGTTCTGTGGGACAAGAAAACGAGGAGGAAAGGTAGTGGTGAGAACTATGGTCACGAATTGCTCGATATTTTTAAGTCTTCAAAATATTCCCGGCGCTTATTTCCAAAAAATCGTACCATCTTAGTTGGGATGAATTGAGATTAGCTTCATTCATTTTCTTGTCCAGAGCTGTCTCGAGCTCGCTCTTCCTACACGCTCCATTTGACTACCTTTAGACTATGAATAATCGATCAAGCGCAGAAATCTGACGATCATACGATGTAAGAATGAAAAATGGGCCGCGACTTCTCTCGCCCTGCTAGGATAAGGCAGAGAGAATAACACATACTTATTGGAAAATATAACAGTGTGCTTTCTTGCCGCGAACAAATTGATTGAACCAGCTTATTACTTCCATCTTGTTGTGAGATATTGATTGAAGACAATTGTGAGGTATATTCATGGTATATGGTACGCAACATTTAGCTATGTATGACAAACGCAAGCAGGAGATATATGGTGCAGTGATTGACACAAGAGCGAGAGTGGATGTGTGGGGTATTTTATGAAACGATTTTACGCGAACGACGAAGAGATTGAAACCACTTTCGGAGAGGCGATTTATGTTTCTGGATGTTTTCTCGGAGATGTGCTGAGTAAAGTAAACAAATATCTCCGGAAGAATTCGAATCCGAAGAATCGAGATCAATACTATCATCCAATGCGTCCGCTCGTATGGATTGGTGACGATTTTGACCGCGAGTGGAAACACGGAAGTATTGAGGGTGATTAAAGTAGGGATCAACGTCGGTGCATATACCGGCGTAGTGTGCCATTATGTCTTCTTCTGAAAGGCGTAGATCCCAGCGAAGACATCCGAGAAACACCAGTTCAAATTCACCGATTTCACGGGCACTGAAGATCAGGGTAGATGCTTCCCAATGGAAGTTTTTAATCGTAAGATCATTCAGATACTATGAGAAAAGTCAGTTGCTATACGGTCTACTGGTGAGAAGTGTACACACCTTCGATGCAGCAGTCAGAGCACCAAGGAATATTTGTTCTAATGGAAATTCTAATCCATACATGATAGATTGGAGGCGATATTTCGCTCTATCGATGTAAACCAAGGCTGCCAAAACCACTGGGATTTTGACACCGGAACGCGCAAGGAGCATCTTCACAAAAATTCTGAAGTGTTGGAGAGCGATGCAACGTTCAGCAGTTTTGCTTTTCGACAACGGGCGGCGGCGACGCATGATAAAGTCGATAACAACCGTTACACACTCCACGACATGGTCTGTTATAAGGGTCAGCATATAGTCTTAACGCAAAATGAATGTGGCCTACCGATTAAATGTGCCGAAAGGTCGACGTCGAGGAGCTCAAGTAAAGCTGGTGAATGCTCCGAAGCGTCGACAAGACTAGCGCGGTGAATGCGCGAAGTGTTTGAATAGTCGATATGGCTTGTTCGATTCCCATGAGTAAACGTGGTGTTAGAACTCTTCTTGGATGAAGGGTTGTAGTAAGAAGCGAAGGGATCGGTCAAAGCAGTCATATTGTTAACAATATTGGTATGTGGTTGAGATGGGATGATAAAGTTGAAAGTTCAAAAATGCAAAAGTCTGCATTTAAATACATGGCTTTAGAAGAAGGGGGTTCAGGAGTGTTGAGACCAAGACTAGTAAGACAAGTATGAAAGACAGACAAGATGACTGTTTACAAGTCACGCGAGACAATCAGGGCCTCGACCGGTCTATTCCATATATGTCTCGGTTATTACCGCTTTAGGCAATGCTGTTTTGCACGTACTTATTTTGGTGCAAAAAAATTCAACCTTGGCTGGTGCAGCATACGGTGCGAGAAAATCACTCGTAACTTCAATGTCTATGAACCTCTCATTCCACATGACGCGGCTGTATGCGTCGATATATCTGCTTTTAGGCTCGAAATTGATGAACGCACCGAGACTCAGTCAGTCGATGACCCCTAAGTCATCTCATGTCGTCAATTGTTTTCTTAATAACTTGAGGCTTTGAAGTCTGGAATATTGTACTCGAAAGTGAAACCACTACTGACCACATACAGGAGGCCATCAACTGCTTCGAAGTATACTGAAGTTTAGCTTCGGGTATCAAAATTCAATATTCAGACCTCAGACCCTTAAGCCCAGGTCTTAAACAGCAGTTCTCACTCCCAAAAGCACAGTTTACTGTACTAGAATTATCGAGTCAATCATCTACAGGTAGTCTTGTTCTATTAATTTACTCCGAGTCAAGCCATTTCCATAGTAATCATTGTTCATCGATGCCGAGATTGAGTGATGTCCACCATTGAACTCACAATTGTAGAAGGCATTAGACGCAATATGTGAGCCGGACGAAGGAGGCTCACATAGGGTGCTTGCTTCGAAGTGTTAGGTCTAATAGTCTTGGTCGGTGCTGGCGCACCTCCGCACTATGTTTAATCATAATTAAGTAATTATATGACTGTTTGCACTACAGGGCACTACTTAAAAAGGAACAGCTCCCCGCCCCAGCATCCGGTACATATCCACGGGTATTCCGACTCCGTAGGAGTTTGCGCGACATTTGTATTTGTTCTATGTACTTCTCGGTTCAGCCCTCTAGCCAGTATTGCTTCGCTTCGCTCGCAACCAGTAAGTAACTCGTTTCAGTGACGTCAATTAATAATAATAGGCTCGAAGCATGAGCACCAGAGATAAAATAGGATAAAATATGCCTCAGCATGGATGCACGGATGGCTCGTTCTCCTTTCCTTTCCAATAAACCAAATTCTCAAATTTAATTAAATAAAGTGTCACAGCGCTCTTTATGCATCTCGCCTCCATTTCCGAGCTAAAAACGCGCAAGAATCTTAGGAATAATGTGATTGTTACAAAAAAGACCTCAATGGTCTCGTCACTGTGAAGGTTCTTCAAAAAGGTTCATAAAAAGGATTGGTCCAAGTAGAACGTCCACAACGACCCTTTCATCGCCGCTGGTCGGCCTGTTTGCTAAGTTCATTTTGTCATACAACAAAAACTGTGATCATACACGCAATGCAGCTTGTTTCCGCTTGCACGATTCCAAAACTCTACTTTTTCCTTTTCGTCGGTCTTCAGCTGTTTCTCGCGAAGACTGTCCAAACGGTACCCATTAGTCCGGTGAGTAGTGAGAATCCCTTTCCTATCTGTCCCTGGTTCAAGGTTATTCTATTATTTCCTGACTTCAACGCTATTGGCCATTTTTCTCTATGCCACCGTCCCGAAACTCTTTTAAATCACAATTTCATTCCTAAATTTTTATTCACCGTCATTTGTAGGAAACTGTCCGTGGTGGTTCATCTTCTGACCTGATCCTGGACAATCACGACGTGACGCTGGACGTCTCGAACACTGCGAGACTGTCGTCGAATCGTGCACGCGCCGAGGGACCTACAATTATTCAAGCTCACATCGTAGTCAACACAAGTTTGGAAACACCCGATGATGTTCTCTTCTCCATCCATGACGCTGCAGAAACAATACTAAATCTGGTTACCTCTGACATTCGAAAATCAGTAAAGCAACATCGGGATGTAGATCTCCCAGAGGATCTTGCTGTTGAACTATCTTCGATGTACGTATATCCAACTGGAGGAAAGGAGTATTATACGGTTGAATACATCATCTTTGATGGAATGAGCGATGGGAAGTCCTGGGTGCATCCGCGAACAGAGGCCCAAAACTGGAAAATGCTTATTGGCAAACAATCTTTCACCGGGTTGAAGGATCGTAGCCCGTATTCCTATAACCCGAAAAAGCTTGATGCGAATCTACATGCGGAAGGCCATAGGTTGATTCTATCGACTCAAGGTGGAAAATTTCAGGTGAATTTCTCGATAACAGTAACCCTATTTACTTTGGCTGACTCTGGCCACTTGAAACAGCGTGGCCCTTGGCAGGGAACCAAGAAGGCAGAATGTGTACCCCTCCCATCCCCCAATAGGAAAGTGAAGCTTTTGCATGACACTGATCGCGATATCGAAAGAATTTCTGTCAGCTTTCCGGTCAGATACCTCAATTTTTGCCATGAGAATTTACTCATCTGCGATTATAGTCTGTGGCCTACGAAGAGCCTCAGGCCACGAGCAAAATGAGGGAGTTGGCTAGGAAATGGATTGAGAAGTGGGTTGGGCCTGCTTGGAACTCCAGAGGACCTTCAATTCCGAAGTAGTCATGAAGAAACTTTGTTGCTTTGTTGTAAACTTCCACATGCTTCTGAGGCCAGGACGGGGAAGGAGCCTTAGACAGCGATTGATAGTCGTCGAATTCGAGAAGTTTCAATTCGAAACATATATTTGATGACCAAGGCTTTGTACGTTGTACCTGATAGATATGCGACCTGAGCTAAGCTCGGGAATGTAGAATCGCATCCTCTGCCCGCCCGCCCGTTCGAAATTGGATCCCTTGAGATTGCGACAAGGGATACGCATATGATTTCTGCGCTTCACACCTTAAGCCCCTCTGGCCAGTTCTCAATACTCTTTTTCCACTTCTGCCACTGCGCACCCTGGCTCAACACCATGTTCCCGGCGAACAGGTCCTCATGTACTAAAACAGTTGTGGTTCCGGGTCCATCACCTATGTACGGATAAAGGAAGCAATGTGAGTGAGTTCGTAGTAATATGGATGGATATAGTGACAGCAAAGTAAAATGAGATAAAACACAACACACCCCGTGAATCGACACACATCGGGGTAATCCCCAAATTTTCTTTCTGTGTCTTCCAGAATGCTTGAGGTATACGCATGACGGTTCGCTTTTTCTCGTTGTTGCCTTGGGCTTGTTCTTGAGTATAGACAATGTTCTTTTGGGTCGAGAATGAACTTGTTAAAGTTGTTGGATGCGGTGTTGATCCGGGTGTAGTGGTAGGATCTTGGGTGACATATATCTGATAGACGGGATAAATAACGAGTATATATTCATGTGGGTAGAAATTCCTCACCATCTTGGGTTTTGTGTTAACCCATGCTCGACGGTTGGCAACTACGAAACACTAGAATGTAGAAATGAAGAAAAGAGGTTCGGGAAATGGATGAATGGTAATTGGAAGATGGGAAAAGAAAAGGATGATGAATATCAAGAAATATAAATGATGACATTGAAACTCACACTCCAATAAAGCATCTTCAAGATTTAGGTATCCCAAGTCATTGGGAAGAAGAAGAGTGTTACAAGGAGAAAGGAGGTGAAAAAGTCATGAATTTGTGTTGAATATCACATACATTGACAGTACATACATACCTTTGAGTCTTTGATTTCCATTCCAGATTTCGGCAATAAAATCATATCACCCCCGGGTTTGTCATTCAAAGTACTATCAGGGAGAAAAAGTTCTCTCAACGGGAATTCTTGCCTAATATACTGGTTCCCGTGGACCTGTGGGAGGGAATTAAGATAAAAGATGGAAAGAGTTTGATTAGTTGACATATATATATCTATTCAGAAGCAAAAGGTGCAATACTTGGAAAGGACAGAGAGAAGTGGTGAGTGAGTGGGTGGGTGTAGAGAAAGGGTAGCACACACACAACCGTGATACCTCAGAAAAAACACCGACCTGTGTAGCATAACTAAACCCAAGCAACACATGTGTAGTCTCATCCGTTAATAGCTCCAGTTCGCTTTTCATAGGTAAGGGTTCCAGTTTAGGGGGGCCGAACAGGCGGCGGAGAAGATGAAAATTTCGAAGTGGGTGCCCGGACCGCTCGAAATTCGAGTGAGCGGTCATTTCGTCGTCGTCGTCATCACCACCAGCACCACCAGCACCTCCAACCACAATACCCATATTCCGTGCAACAGAGACAGCGACGACATCCGGCGAGTTGGGGGCAGAAATACATTGGTTTATATCGCGATTGGTGGTTAGGGTTGTCGCGTTTGGACCTGGGATGGGGATGGGGATGGACCTGGGATCGGTAATTGTGCCGGTGGTGACAGACGAGGGAGCAAGATCAAGGTCTGGCGAGGTAGGAATAGGCGAAGCATATCCCCCGCTAATATCCATCAGTGTTGAAGAAGATAGCAGAAGAAACATGGCGATGATCATGTGGGTCCTAATGCGAGTCTTAACGCTAGTGACTGCGAACATGGACCTGTGCTTGTGGGTAGTTGTAGTAATGGAAGAGGGCGAAACCATCGTTATTTAAGGTCGAGTAGGTCAAGTACGGCAAGCCCGTCAAGTAATTCAAGCCCTGTCGTACAAGACGAGTGGTCGGTGAAAGAAAGAAAGAAATTTACAAAAATGAGTCTCGTTTCGTTTCAGTCAAAGAGCCAGCCCTTGACTGTTCGGTGGTATGGCTGCACAGCAGAAGGAAATGAAGAAGATGAAGAAAGGGAAATCCTCTATGTGTTGGTGAAGTCGATTTTTGGGTATGTAAGGAAGAAGATGCGTAGAAAAAGCTAAGCGTTGATCAGCCATCATGATTCATTTGCATTATGACCCGAATTATATCGATTATGTCCGGTGTTTGCGTAGAATTATTTCAGCCGCCGACGGTGATGCGTGAATTAAAAAACAGAATGGGAGGAAGATAGAGCAGGATAGAGCCTGATAGAGCACGCCAAGCTGGACGATGCAATATGGTGAGGGAATTTGTTGTGGGGCAGGCAGGGTTGGAGTCGGAGTCACTGTTAGATGAGGGGAAAGTAAAAGGGCTGCATCCGGATCCCTTTTGCCCTATAAGGCATAGATGTGACCGTCGGAACGGACAAAGACAATTTGAGAAGGAAATTTTGCACGGGCGCTCGGGATGTTCAATGACCATTGCAAGCACAGTGAAGGGGCCAGGAAAGGAGAGGATACACTGGAGACTGTCGGGGTCTATGAATTGAAGATTCGCGAGTGTTGTAAGTCATGCCTTGCAGCGAGGATTTCACCTAAAGGCCATGTATTCGCAGGTCCTTCGTGCAAATATCCCGGATCTTCGGACTCGAGGTTCATGCTCAGGTTTATTCCCGTACGCAAATCTTTACACTTATCCACCTCCGTCTTGATGATCCCTCGCGAAACGTGTAAGAGGATTTGTTGGGCATTGTACGGTCCGATTTCGTTTAAACGTACGGAAGCGGAGAGAAGAGAACGGGCGTGGAGGAATATGTGGAGATATAGGGAGCGTTCTAAAGTGATTACTATTATATACCCAAGTTGAGAAATGATTAATGAAGGAAATTACACACCTAAAGTTAATCCCAAAGCACCCGTCAATATTCCCCAACAGATTGGTAGATGTCCAGGAGTGCGCTCAGCTCGCACGAGTGTCTTGTACCTCGTAATTAGAGAGGTCATCGTAGACGTCGATGTTGCTGAATAAGGATTTGAGAAACCTTTGGAGTACAAGGTGAGCAGAGCGACACCCTGCGACTTTGAAGCGCGCTTCGTTACATGGTTCAATGTCATTACATCGTAGAGATCATCCAATTCTTGAATCTTCCGAAGATACCCTTCTAAATATCCCTCGGACTTTGAATCTCCTCCATCATCAACATCCTCTTCGATCGTTGCACCCTGAACCACCCGATGAGCATCGGAAACAAACGGAAGAGCAGAACGCGCGTAAGCGCTGATACTATCGCTCATGAAGGTCGTTGTTCTATCCGTCCCATTTGATTTGTCATCTCTTGTTCCACCGAATCCATGTTTGATATATGATTCAAAACCGGAGGAGGCGACAAAAGAGCCTGTCGGAAGATTGCTGTCGGAGAGGAGGAGTAGGAGGTATGTTTGGTCGTCGTCCATCATAGTACGAGGAGAGCTTTCTCCCGGGCCGAGGTTCCGGACAATGAGTGGTCTGTGCGCATCAGTGGTAAGGATCTTGACGCGATTTTGGAGACGAAAACTTGAAAGGAATGTGGTGGTTCAAAGGGAATCGAATCCTGATCTTAACACTACTGACCACTCTTCGCTGTTTTGAACTTCGCCTACATTTCTATTTGCAGGAGACAGCCAATGCTAGCGGTTCATATTCTTATCTAGTCACAGGGAATCACGATGTACCACTGGCAATCTCCAACACTACGGAACTATTATCGTCCATTTATGCCCGCCCCCTCAAGGAACCAGCGCCGACGACAATCATTCAAACCACGATCTCAGTCCGAGCAAATCTAAACACCTCCGACAATTTCCTCTTCTCCATTCGGAACATCGCAGAAATGGTACTGAATCTAGCGAAACCCCGAAATCCAGCAAGCAACAAGGAGAAAGAAACAGCGGGAGGAAATAAAACTACCCGATAATTCCACTTTTTGGGTATCTCCTATGTATCTACATATATCCACCTCACTGGAAAAACGGATACGGACACGACTTTTACGGAATAGAACGCATAGTCTTCGAGGCATCTTCGAATATAATGCCGGATTAATATTGGGTGATGAAAACTAGACATACTAGACTGAAATCTTCTACCAGGACCGGGGGTGACCCACATTCTCATGATTTGGATTCAAAAAACCTCGATGCAGGGCTTTTTGAGGTTCAGGCTTTGATTGTATCTACTCCAGATGGAAAATTTCTAGTGAGTTTTGAGTTTAATATGATCAGAATACGATATCTATCTACTGCTATCAACAAAAACTGACTATCCTTCCTTCGTCTTTCTTTATCTCAGAGGCAGCATGGCGCTTGGATTACTCAGGGGACGGGTGAACCTCTCCCACCCAGGTCCGATAGGGAAATGAAGTGTGTTTGCAATAAGGTTATGAATTCAGACGATCAATATATCAATCTTTTCGAGGTGAGACTCGGACTCGTCGGAACTTGTCGGAAGATACTTTGACCTGAACCTCCCAAGTTGATTTCAGCCATTTGTGCCAATTATCAATCGTATTCTTGTTCTGCGATACAAACCCACTGGACTACACTACACTACACCTTCACAATCACTGAATCACTGAATCACCCCTCCTCACCCTACTTAACCCTATTCTACTTCTGCCACTGCGCGGGTTTGGTCAACATCTTGTAATCCGCGAACATGTCTTTGTGGATCATGAGAGTGGCGACTTCTTTGCCTGTGAAAGTATGCGCGATCGGTAATCAGTAACCAGTGAAGAATGAAGAATGAAGGGAAGGGAAGGACGAAAAAAGAGGAACGGACGAAAAAACGAAAAAAAAACAAAACACCCCAAAACAAAAACCCCCCACCCACCTCTCGGATTAACACACATCGAACTAATCCCCAGCTCCCTCCCGCGGGTTTCCCAGACCGATTTCGGGATCCGCATCACATCGAGATTGAGATTCACACCGTGGGTTGTGGCGGGGAATTGCGGTCTGGAATAAGTGAGGCTGGATTTGAGCTGGGGGAGGGCGGCGGTCCATGCTTGGCGGGAGGCGACGACGAAACACTGGATAGAGGGAGATAAGGAGAAGGAGGGTGGGGTTAGTTGTGTAGGTAGAACACAATTCATGTGGTGTGAGTTGTGACTTACTTTCCAATAAATTCCCTTCGAATCCTGGATACTAGGTTCCTGCAATAACATCAGATCCCCTTCTCCCTCTCCGGGTTGACTTGGGGTAAGACCGGGGAGATGGAGTTTGTCGAGCGGGAAGAGAGTTTTGTCGTTTTGACTTCCGGCGAGCTGTGTGGGAGGGTGGGGAAAGCGGAGGATAGAAGAGAGAAGAGAGAAGGAGGGAGAAGAGGATCAGTCAATGACCAGCATTAAACGTAGAAGAGCATCAAGCGCATTAAACCTGTCCAGTATAACTAAACCCCAGCAACACATAATTCTTCTCGTTTGTGAGTTTCCCCATTGTGGATCGGAGGACATCGGGTCTGGAGGGCCATCGGGGGAGGTTGATGATCGAACGCCGCGGGAGTGAAGGCGAAAGAGGTGCTTCGGAGGGGTCGTCGTAAGCAGTAGCAGTAGCGTTGACTGCATAGGAACCCAACGACGACGTAGTAATAGTAGTACTTGGGGTTGGGTTAACGAGTGAAGAGGTGGAGGTGGTGGAAGAGGAGGAGGTAGGAACGGGAGAAGCACGTCCCAAAGTGATAAGTGCTGGGGAGGCTATCAGGAGGAGGAAGTGGGAGAGTGGGATCATCATTTTCGTCGTTGTCGGATTTTCGAGGGTTCGAGTACGTGAAGCGTAAAGCGAAGTATATATATCAAGTCAAAGAACCAGCTTTGACTTTTTCAGAGAGTTGACTGCACTGCAGAGGAATGAAGGAAGGGAACTTTTTCGGGGGGTGTTTTATATAAACCATATGATAAGGATAAACAACAACCTTGATGCGTTGGAGATCGTAGGGAGATGGAGGATCATTTGAGGACTCCGACGGTCCATTATGCCGAGCGACGGCGGTATTGAACAGCCACCCTTCACATCTTATCTTATAATCTTATCGCGTCTCGTGCCACATACATGCACAGACGCCGGAAGTGAGTACCGGAAATGCCTGCCAACTAGTGTACCCCTCTGGGGCCCTACACCTTGCTTGGCTTTTGTGTTTAGGGTCATCATAGTCATAACAATCATTTCATAACATTATCTTTCACTGTATGTAATAGCTTCTGTCTGTCATGCCTCACCCCAAGTTCCTTAGCCCATAAGCTCTCTAGCATAGCTCCCGATCTCCTCAGACCCCTTCCTTGAATCCCTGAGAACACTTCAAACGTCCCACAGACCTCCTTACCGCTAGAACCACCTCCGCAACCCTTAGCTCCCCTCCATTCAACCGAATCATTCCACGACAGGGTCCTGGAACCCCGTACATGCGTCCATCATTCCATCCTCATGTACTTAGAATCCCCATTAAGTGCTCGCTTCATATCATGTCTCCTTGTTAACTTCCCCATACGTATTTAATCAGTCCAGGAGCGTTCAGAAGCCCAGCTTGGTATATTTTGAACACACACCCTTTACATAGGTCCAGTCCCTGTCCCTTTGTACCTGCTACCTATACGGAATTCTCTCTACTCTCTGTCTCTCTACTTCTGTTTCTCTCTACTTCTGTCTATTGTCTCTCTGATCGTCTGTACGATCGAATATACGCTTTTACTTCAAGTCTAAGCCTTCCGAGTGAGTCCCCGAGCTCCCTCGAACATTACTAAAGCTCCCCAACGCCTACCCGCTTGGTGAGCTACTCTTCCCCAAACCTCCCAGAGCTCCCTAGCTACTTCGTAAGCTTCGGGACCTCGATCTAGGTAAAGTCGAAGCTATCCCTCACGTCGAACTACGTATTGCTTCTCCGTTACCACCTCCCACACTCGAGGACGACCATCCTCCAACCCAGTCCCCAGGGACCTACCCTCCCTGGCATATCCCTTCTCGGGAGCTTACACCTTCGAGACCCCGTTGCATAAACTACCTACTCGACTCTATATTGACGTTCTAGCGAGTACAACTCCTACTACGCAATATCTTACGGTCCCGCACTCGTCCCGAACCTCCCTACGCATTAGGGACCTCCCTGGACCTCCTAGGAACCCCTCAAGGGTCACCTTCTCGTCGTTCCAACCACTACTAGGTCATTCCCGTCCTCGGTCGCGGTTCTCGTAGCTCCCTTCGAGCTCCAGCCTGCTCCTAGCACGCTACAACATAAACCTCCACATACCAAAACCTACCCTAAGACCTATTTTGACCCAGGTCTTACATTATACCAAGCTCTCCCGTCACCGAACGGACTCGTCGCGACGAAATGTCGGCGACGTCAACGGAACGACCTTCTAGTTCCAAGACCGAATCAAAGAAACAAAAGAGCGCCTTATCTCGTGGAAACACGACACAAGCTCAAAAATCGAACCAGGCTGCTAGCTCCACTGTCATCACGGTGGCAGCTGGTCAACGCCTGATGTCCATCCCAGAACAGTCGTTCGGGGATGAAACCGCCAGCAACATCCGGAGAAAGCAGCTCATAGCGGGTACCCATGTGGTGGAACGAAAATCGGACCCAACCATACAAGGGAAACCCATCAGCTTAATAGGAGCTGCTGGGATGGATCGTCTACTGAGGGAGGGAACCCCAGCGTACTTCCTTCATATATCGCCAACGAAGGAGGATTCCCCTACTGAAGAAATGCTCCGGGCGAGTGATAGCAGCGCCACAGAGGGAGTGCAGCAACCAAAGGATCCTGAGAGTGCGGACCCTAGTTCGGAACAAGGAGGGGTCGTTAGGGAGCTCGACAAAGAAGAATCGAGGCGTCAGGAGACGGAGGAATTAAAGAAATCCATTCCCGTCCAATACCAGGACTACCTGGACGTGTTCTCACCTGGAGAAGCAAGGACGCTACCTCCTCACCGACCCTACGATATCAAAATCGAGACAGAAGGGGATGCGATACCTCCCATAGGGAAGCTCTACAACATGTCCGAGAAGGAACTGAAATCCCTCAAGGAGTACATCGATGAGATGTTAGGCAAGGGGTTCATACGATCCTCCAGTTCCCCTGCGGGAGCTCCTGTCTTGTTTGCCAAGAAAAAGGATGGTACCCTGCGACTCTGCGTGGACTATCGAGCTCTGAACAAGATTACGAAGAAGAATAGGTACCCTCTACCGCTGATAGGAACCTTAGTGGATCAACTACGGAAGGCGAAGATCTTCACAAAGATCGACCTCCGCGCAGGTTACAACAACGTCAGGGTAGCCCAGGGACACGAGTGGAAGACTGCATTCCGAACTCGGTATGGGTCCTTCGAATACCTGGTAATGCCCTTTGGGCTCACGAATGCTCCCTCCGCGTTTCAATTCTTCATGAACGAGATCTTTCACGACATGGTGGACGTTTGCGTGGTAATTTACCTGGACGACATTCTGATCTACTCAGACGATGAAGTATCCCATGTCGAACACGTCAGGAAGGTCCTTGAACGACTACGGGCGAACCACCTCCATGCAAAGCCGGAAAAATGCGCGTTCCATGTCGACACTGTCGAGTACTTAGGGGTGATCATATCACCATTGGGAGTGTCCATGGACCCAGAGAAAGTGAAGGCAGTAATGGACTGGCCAAAACCAAGGACGGTGAAGGAACTCCAGGCGTTCCTCGGTTTCGCAAACTTCTATAGGAGGTTCATAGACAACTACTCGGGAATCACCAAGGTGTTCACGAAGCTCCTCCGAAAAGATTCAGTGTGGAACTGGACACCACAGTGTAGTAGTGCCTTCGAACTTCTGAAGTCAGCATTCTCCGAAGCCCCGGTTCTGGGACATTACAATCCGGACCTACCGGTAGTCCTCGAATGCGATGCCTCCGACTTGGCTATAGCAGGGATCCTATCACAGCTGGATCCTGAAACGGGGGAGATACATCCTATCGCCTTCCATGCACGATCAATGATCTCTGCGGAACTAAACTACGACATATACGATAAGGAGCTCCTAGCTATCGTGGACTGCTTCAAACAATGGAGGGCGTACTGCGAAGGATCCCGACACCAGATCCAAGTGTACTCAGACCATAACAATCTCCAGTACTTCACCACTACGAAGCAGTTAACAGCACGACAAGCCCGGTGGGCAGAGCTCCTTTCAGGATACGATTTTGTCATCAACTACCGCCCAGGGAGGTTGGGAGCCAAACCGGACGCGCTCACCCGTAGATCAGACGTGTACCCAAAGAAGGGAGCTTCAAGGGACCAGGCCTTAGCAGGGAGGGAAAGGGTACTCATACCTCCAGAACGTCTAAACGCGACCATCCTCATGAACGAAGACCTCTTAGTAAATCGAGTGAGGGAAGCTCCAAAGATACGAGTATGATTGAAGCATTGAAGCGGATTGCACGGAACGAGGAGGAATCTCTCGTGTGGGAGGATGGTCTGATAAAGAGGGGAGGTCGTATATATGTCCCAGACGTTGGAACGCTACGAAGAGAGGTCCTACAGTCGTACCACGACCATAAGTTGAGAGGACACCCGGGGGAGAAACGCACCAGGAAGCTCGTAAGCCAACTGTTCTTCTGGAAAGGGTTGTCCAAGGATGTGAACTACTATGTGCGAAGCTGCCATTCATGTCTGAGGGCGAAAGCCAGTCGATCCAAACCATACGGGAACCTCCGCCCACTGCCAATCGGTCAACGACCTTGGTCGTCAATCTCCCTTGATCATATCACCCAGCTCCCAGTCACAGCAGGTCCGGAAAAGTACGATGCTATCCTGGTAGTAGTGTGCCGACTGACCAAACAGGCCATATACGTCCCTTGTCATACTACGGATAAGGCGGAAGACTTCGCTAATCTCTTCATAACACATGTCTTCTCGAAGCACGGGATGCCCTCCGATATAGTTTCAGATCGAGGTTCCCTATTCGTGTCCCAATTTTGGAGGGAGCTCTGTAGAGCACTAGGGATCGAATCCCGCCTATCTACTGCGTATCATCCCCAGACAGACGGACAAACGGAACGAGTAAACCAATCAGTGGAGGCTTACCTTCGGATCTATTGCTCTTACGACCAGGACGACTGGGACCTTCTCCTACCAATGGCGGAATTCGTATACAACAACACCCCAAATACAACGACGGGCGTCTCACCGTTCTTTGCCAATAAAGGGTACCACCCAAAACTGTCCATTACCTTGGAGCAGGTACAAGGAGCGGAGGTCAACGAATACGCATCGAACCTCAAGGAGTTACATGCTTACCTGCAGGAGCGAATTCGAGTAGCCAACGAGGTGTATGCGCAGTACGCGAATCAAAAACGCCAGGAGGCCCCAGACTGGAAGGAGGGTGATCACGTCTGGTTGAATATGGAAAACGTCAGGACGAGAAGACCTATGAAGAAGTTAGACCACAAGTGGACGGGTCCCTACTCAATCTTGGCAAAAATAGGGAGCCATGCGTACCGATTGGACCTCCCTGGGGACCTCCACAAAATTCACAACGTGTTCCATGTAGATAGGCTGAAACCTCACTTCCACGACAAATTCAAACGCCAGACCTCCCCGCCTCCCCCAATCTTCATAAAAGGGGAGACGGAGCACTTTGTCGAGGATATCCTTGATTCCAAACCCAAGAAGGGACGACCGGAGGAAGTGGAATATCTCGTAAAATGGGAAGGTTATAGTGAAGATTTCAACTCTTGGGTAGGATGGGAAGGTATGGCAGGATCCCTGGAGCTCCTGCGGAGCTGGCACGAGAAACATCCAAGAAAGCGACAGCCATCGCAGAGACATTGGGCTCGCCTCTTAAAGGATGCACAGGAAGATGAGGAGGACGAAAGGGAGGATAGGAGATAGGGCCGGAGCTGACAACGACACAAAGGAACGATGGGAACGATATCCGCATGACATCCACGACGAACTAACGACTATGTGCATCAGAGGGTTCAAGCAACCTGAAG